GAGAGAGAGAGAGGGGGGGGGGGAGAGAGAAGGAAGAATGTGAAATGAACTGAATGAATTGAGGAAAAAATGGCAAAATATGGAGAAGAAATCAGAGTATATTTATATTTAAAGCCAAAAACTCTTTATTGTTGTGTAGATTTGGGATACAACTCCTCTCAGGTTTATTTTTTGGCCCGCATGTTGGTGAGATTTCCCTTCACCTTCTCCCCTGGAGAAGAAACAGGAGGAAGGAAATCTCTGCAACGAGGGGGAATCTGGTTGTCACTGAAATCGGTGTCACCGTTTTAACATTTGCCCTGAAGATATCTGGTGACAACTGTACAATTTTGGATTTCCTTCCACTTCCTGCCTCGCTGCCAAAAGGCGCCTAGAACACATAGAGAGGGTGAATCTTAACCTGCCAGAGGTTCTAACCCGTCCACGTACAATCCAAAACAAAACACATAAACTAAGATTTGGCTTTAGATACACTTTAGGAAATGAAGAGGAACAGAGAAGGAAGAATGTGAATACAGAGAAAAAAAGTGAGCAGAAGAAGAAAAAAGAAAACAGATACAAATATGTCTGTCAGGAAAACAGCAATCAGAGGAGGCAGGAAAAGGAGGGAGGAGAGGGATAGAATAGGGAGGAGAGGGATAGAATAGGGAGGAGAGGGATAGAATGGGGAGGAGAGGGATAGAATAGGGAGGAGAGGGATAGAATGGGGAGGAGAGGGATAGAATAGGGAGGAGAGGGATAGAATAGGGAGGAGAGGGATAGAATAGGGAGGAGAGGGATAGAATAGGGAGGAGAGGGATATAATGGGGAGGAGAGGTATATAATAGGGAGGAAAGGGATTGAATAGGGAAGAAATGGTGAGAGAGGAGGAAGGCAGAGGCAGGAAGGATAAATAGAAGACAGGAAAAGCAGAAATACAAGAGAGGAAAGAAGAGTAGAGGCAGAGATGAGGTGCAGGAAGACAGGCAGATAGGCAGGAAAGGAAATAGAAGAGGAAAGGCAGGGAGAGGTGAGAGGCAGGAAGTGAGAAGGGAGAGGCTGGTAGAGAAGAGAAAATGATGACACAGGAAGAGAGGAAAGGAGAAAAAGAGAAGAGACAGGAAGAGGGGAGAGGATGGTGGAGATAAGAAACTTGAAGAGATGAGAGTCAGGGAGAGAAGACGTGGGAAGAGATAAGAGGCAGTTAGGAGAGGAAGACAGGAAGAGACAGGAAGTAATAGGAAGCAGGAAGAGAGCAGAGTACAGAAGAGGACCGGTGATAGAGAGAAGAGCAGCAGAAGGAAGAGACAGAAGCAGCATCTGATCCAGAGATTAATCTGAATGAATCAAACTGAAAGACACTCATCATGATTCCGATGAAAGGAGAAGTCTCATGCACACCTCCCAGGCAGCGAATGTCTGCCAGGCTCTGCATGCTGCGCCAACTTCTGCCCTCACCCCAGACATATCCCTCCCCGCTAAACAATGACAAACCTGGGGGATGGCAGGGGCAGGCATGAGCCAGGGGGAACAGGAAAAGGGGGCTAGTCAGGGGACACACAAGCAAAAGGGAACTTACACTGCACCTGGAGGATCTGATCACTGAGATTAGCACGCAGGTAATAGGAGCTGTACAGAGGTAAAACCAGACCCAGGCTGCCGGGAACACCACCAGAAATATGTGTGTTACAAGAGAAGGGAATGGAGGAGGTAAGGGAGGAAGGTCAAGACAAAGGAGGAAGGAAGAATGAATGGATAGAAGGAAGAAAGAGAGAAGGGAAGGAAGACGGTAAGAAGGAAAGAAAGAAGGAAGGAAAAGAAAGGAAGAAATGGAGAGGAGAATGTAGGGAAAGGAGGTGGTAAGCAATGAAGGAAGAAAGGCAAAAACAAAGGAAAGGAGGAGGCGAGGAAGAAAGAAGAAGAAAAAAAGAAAAGAATAAAAGAAAGCAAAGACATAGGAAAGAAGGAGGAATGGAAGGAAGGCAAGGAAGTAAGAAGGAAGGAAAGGAAGAAAAAAGTAAAAGAAGGAAGGGAGGAAGGAAGGCATAGACAAAGGAAAGAAGGAGGAGGAAAGTAGGAATGGAAGGAAGGCAAGAAGTAAGAAGGAAGGAAAGGAAGAAAAGGAAGAAAAAAAAAGAAGGAAGGGAGGAAGGAAGACATAGACAAAGGAAAGAAGGAGGAGGAAAGTAAGAGGAATGGAAGGAAGAATGAATGGATAGAAGGTAGAAAGAAGGGAAGGAATACAAGAAGAAAGGAAGGAAATAAAAAAAGAAAAGAAGGAAAGAGGAAAGGAAGAATAGAAGGAAAATTGAAGGGAAGGAAGCAAGAATGGAAGGAAGGGAGAGGAAGAATGAAGGGAAGGAAGGAAGGAAGGAAGGAGGGTTGCGTGGAAGAGTATGGGTGAGGAATACAGAAGAGAGAGACAGAGGGAGGTGATGAGGATGTGACAGAGGGGATCAGAGGGGATCGGGGTGGATTGCAGATGTGGACAAGGAACAAAAGGAGAAGGGAAAATACCATTACTATCTGTTTACAGCTCAGCAGCCAACTACAGTACACATGCGCAAACACAACTCACACCGCTCCTCCGCCATGTTTAAAGGGACCCTGTCAGCATTGTACTTCACAACCAACATCATGTAACACCCAATTCTAATTTTTCTCCCTTTTATTGCTCTGGACTCAGCAGACGGAGAATTCACCGACACATATATATATATATATATATACACACACACTGTGCACAAGTAAAAACTCACGGCAACCACTGCTAAGGTTCGGCAGCTCTGCACATTGTGAAATTTTTTATAAACAGCTACAATATATAAAAGAGATAAAATACTTAAAGGGGACCTGTCACTGAGATAACGTATCGCACTCTTGCTGAGCGTATCGGGATCTGGATCAGGGGTACAGTGTAATATTAAATCTTCCGCGTGAGGCCATTGTGAATAATTATCTGCAGAGTCCAGAGCTACCGCCAAGTTTTAGAAACAAGGCGGAATTGACCGCTGCTCATTATTGGTAAAGGCGGCACGGATCTTAAAGTATAAAACTATTTCCGTATTGTTACAGACTAACCGACACGACTGAACTCGCTTCAAATGTATCAGATTGGTAAGAATATGTTTATTTTGATGACGGGGTTCCTTTAAAGTGCTGGGGGCGGGGTGTAACATGGTCCCACTTAGATATTATTCACGACAATCATTAAACCAATCCAATCAATGGAATCTCACATAACCTTCAACATTTCATTTAACTTCCTATCATTGCATTTCAAAGGTGGTTTTTTAATGTTTTTTTAAAGGCACAGTCCACCTTTTGCAAAATAAAATAGTAAATTCAGCAACATTGGTCTCATGATCAGCGTCCACGTACCACTTTTTTTTTTTGCATTGAAGCCTGCATTGCACCCCGAAATCAGTGCATCGTGGGTGCAATGCACCAGCTCTATCAGTGGTTACCCCCATCCTCAGGTTTGTATAGAGCTATGGACCTGGGGTTTAGAAAGCGCGGATGGACTATAGAGGGGGAGGGATCACTGGTATGAGGATACCTCTCCTATAGCGGTAGATAGGACTTGTATTTCTATTGAGTAATCCCACTGAATAGATGATGTCCTTCAGGTAAGGGAGGGGAATTTGGGCTTTGGGGATGCTATATGTGACCACCCTAAATATGGGTGTAACATGAAACAAAAAGGGGAAATTTCATAGGAAATGCCTATGACCAGTGGCGTCACAAGGGGGACACCATTAGAGGGGTGACACCAAAATGACTCACAGTCAGTTTGGTGTCACCCCCCTCTGAAAAGTCGGGCGCTCGGTCATGGACCAAACGCCCGACAGTATCAGTAGAGAGGAGGGGACCCGGCGGCATACCTTATCCCGCCGGGTGACTGTCCCCTCCTCTCTCTGCCAGCGTCCATCACCAAGATGGCCGCCAGCAGGTATCAGAATACTGCCGCGTGTGCGCGATGACGTCATCGCGCAGCGCGTGGTGACGTCACGCGCATGCGCAGTGACGTCTCGGCGGGGTGACACTCGGTTACCGCTCCGGGTGTCACCCAGCCTCAGGACGCCCCTGCCTATGCCCCTTGGCTCCACCTCCACATAATGTGTGGCCCCTTGGAGCAGACTTGTGTCTTTTTTCAACCTGACTAACTATGTAACTATGTCAGGGCCCACAGTTGAGGACCCCCATAATTTGACAGGCACTGGTCTATTGGATCTTCACTAGACCTCACTCAATGGGCGTCCATGCAGTTACCACATCAGGCCAGAAGGTGGCAGTAAAACATAAGATCTGGCAGACAGCAGAGGATTATGGGAGTGCAGCTGACTGCTGGCATGTATACAATACGCCTCGCCAAATTACTTTGACCCTCGCCGAGCGTCATTCTCTGCATTCCCCCAGAAACGCGAATTGCTTTAAGCGATACGTGTGCGCCGTGCGTCTTCCTTACCTGTAATTTGTACTGTGAATTGGTGCGTATGTGTACGTCCGATCAGCTTCATCAATGTATCTCTGCAAAAGAAGATATATGAAAATAGCATTTGTTTCTCCCGGTCAGCGGACGACGTATACTCGCCCCGGGATCTATGCATCACTCATGGCGGCATCGCATCCGAGCGAAAGACGCACAACACACGCCCAGCCACCCAACCGCAAAAAATTCCTATGTCCATTCCTATTTTAAAATGAATAATGATTTTCGATATCTTTCGGAAGAACCCCTCAGACGGGAGGGCTCTACAAACAATGCCCAGGGGTCCTGACGACCCTTGTCTGTGATGCTCAACAAGGGCCACAGTTTGGGCCCCCCGTCCACCTCTGGGCTCAGGTGCATAGCCCAATCACCGCTGTCCTTGCCCCTTTCCAAAGAGCTCGGCTATACCTCATCCAACGACTTCACCAGGGTCCGGATGTGCTGATGTCCCTCCAACCCGTCAATCATCCTCCGTCGGATCTAATGAAAGGAGATAAGATTATGACAAGAAGTGGTCACTAGAAGGGAAAACAACTGACTGTGAAGATGGAGGAGAGTGAGGACGGGATTCCTTTACAACCAAATCCGACAGAGACCGCAACCTGGGGAGCTGTGAAGAGTCAATGCCATAAGAGCTCCCGAGGTTCCCCTTAAAGGAGAACTATGGGGTTAAGTATTTCCCCCATAGTTCTCCTCGGGGTCACGGGAGGACACAAACTAGCGTCCTCCCGTCACCCTAAGCTCAGCATATAGGGAGCTTCAGCTTGCGGTATACTGAGACGCCGCAGCCGAAGCGGATCCCGACAATTGTGCCAGGATCCGCCCAGCTGCGTGAGTGACAGCTGGCTCTGCCTATCTAGAGCCAGCTGTACCCGCCCTATGGGGTGGGCTTTCCCCATAGTTCTCCTTAGGGTAACGGGAGGACACAAACTAGCGTCCTCCCGTCACCCTAAGCTCAGCATATAGGGAGCTTCAGCTTGCGGTATACTGAGACGCCGGAGCGGATCCCGACATCGATGTCAAGATCCGCCCAGCTGCGTGAGTGACAGCTGGCTCTGCCTATCTAAAGGCAGAGCCAGCTGTACCCGCCCCCTGCCCCG